CGCATTGCCAAAAGAAAACTATACTAATTATTTATTTTACTAACTATTTATTTTAATAAGTAATGTGAACCGAAGGAAAAGGCAAAAGTTTTCTAAAGGACACTCAGAAAAAGATAAAGACTAATGTAGTAGAGTAATCTTCGCTGACGAATGGAATTGGAAGATTTCGGATATAAGAATTCGGGTGTGGAGGATACCAAATAAAGAGCTGAAAAAAGAAAACCTTGAAGCAACCGTGAAGCAAAGAGGGAGAAATGTAATGGTGTGAGGCTGCATGTCAGCCAATGGTGTCTGTGAACTTGTTTTCATGAAGCAAACGATGAATACGTTCAACAATTTTACATTCTTAAACAATGTTTAAAACAAATTGCTGAAAATCATCACTCTTCATAGATTTTATTTTTATCAAGCACAAGTCGCACGTTGTTAAAGTTTGGCTGCTGCAATGTTATAGAACGTTTTGGGAGGAAAATTGGCAAAAGAAAATACGAAAATACCCAATTCATTCCACACAATAGTTCCAACTAATTCTGTAAATATCACCATTATTCCATCTTCTCACATCTTATTTTAGATATATTTTACTTCTAAGGTCTTCTGTTATCATTCTGCCTTGCTCTAAGACTTCCGTTGTCAAATACCGGAAAGAATGAGCTTAGTATACGCACGAGCTCTTTATCAACCTCGATTTTTGATCTCAAAAAGACGTTTATCTGCTTTAAAGAGTTCATCTGGTGAATCTCTAAATAATATAAAAATATAATAACAAATGCATTTATTATTTAAATAAATATATGTATACAAAAATTTCACCGCCCTAAAAATAATCGCTGGATTCGCTCCTGCTGTGACACCTCTCCTAACTCCAGAGCGGATTAATATTTTTGCCGCCTGTAGGCACATCAAATTTGCCGCTCCCTGTGTAGTACCTGGAATAGTACAATCTAAAAGCTTATTTTCACATTTTGCGGTCTCAACAAATTACTTTTGACGTTGAAAACCTGAAAAGTGTTCACACTAGTGTAACGATTTTTGACGCCTCATCTTTCGCAAGGCGGCAATGTGACAATAACTCTCTCTTGAATAATGAGGAAAATTCAATTACATTGCACAAATAAATATATTTTCAAAACTTCAATAAACCACATATTTAAATATAACTGTCATCTGTCGTACATACGAGGTTGAACTGAAGAATTCGCCGAAGTATACACGTGTAAGTATTCGGCACATTGACGTGTTTTGCAATCTGCCGCCTACGCGAGCAGTCGAGGAAATAGTAATATCTGCTTGACAACATTGTATGAGGTTCAATATCACTTCATCTAATATAGAATGTTTCTTGTTCTGAGAAGACATGAACTAAATGAGTGAGTGACATGCTGTTTGCTTCATGTTCGTAACACAAGTTTATAGCGTTTTCATTTTAATTTGGTTTGTGGCTTTTGGTGGAACGGTATGGCTTGTGTTCGTAGTAAAGGCCAAACAATACAGTTAAGCTAGGGAAAATATACGTCTCGTTATTAAGAAATGTGACAAAGAAAAGAATTCGGCGTTTCTCAACACACCGCTCATAACAGCAATTTTCGGGTAGTAAACAATACTGAAGTGTCTGTTCGAACTGTGACATCAATAAAAAAGAAGGATATGAATCCGGCGGGGCAACATCGAGTACTCCTGGTAACAAAAGGCTATATTGTGAAGATAAAAATTTCCACATTGATGACATCCACTTATTGCTTATTTGTTTTCCTTATTCTCGTATGATGTTTTAATCCTCGCCTATGGATAACTTGGCGTAATATATTTGGGACAGCTAGTAGTTGCAGATTAGGCGGGGGGGGGGGGGAGGGGCAGCTTCAAGAACATTGAGCGCATTCCTCAGCCTTGCTATCGAGTCAGCTCACAACTCTATAGAATGAGGGTGGCTCGGGATGAACAAATGTAGTAGACACGTGGACGTGGAGCAGGAAGTGTAAAGCGGAGAAAACACCGAGTAAGCGAGCGATCAGTGAACTTGGTGTAAGCATTCTCCCACGTTCTATTTGCGTACCACTGTCCCAGTGCCATATTGGACTTGGAAATCCCGGCCCCTCCCCCCGGCTACTTTACGTGAGTCCAGGCTCGTTCGTGCCCTATGTCGTTTGCGGCAGGTGGCGATGAAAGACCAACCGCCGATGCATTCGGAGCAACAACCTGCTTATAGTTTTCACAATCGACAGACTGAATCAGACCCTCGAGAAAATCAAGATTTTCTCCGTGAAATATAAAGAAGTTTCACAAAATCTTGGAAATACAGCATCGAAGTTAAGATTAGTTATATGATAAGGACCTACAATAGAGTAGTGGATAAATATAGATGATTACGAATAAGAACCTGAGATCGAAGAAATGAATTAGGCAAACAAAACAACTGAAAATGGGAAGTCCCGGCTGTAGATAATATTCCAATCGAACTATTCAATGATACAGGGGAAGAAATCTTGGCGAAACTAACACATTATGCAATGTGATCTGGAAAAGAAACAGTGAACAACAGATTTGCAACGCACTATAATTACTCCAGTATCAAAGAAAGGGACAGCCAAGATTGTGCAAATACAACACAATTGCATGAATACCGTGTGATTCAGTCAATCGGCAAAAAGTCATCCTCGGAAAAAGAAAAAAAAAAAAAAAGATTTAAAAATGTTGATGTAAACATACTTTCTTAAGATTTACCAAAACAATTCGCATTGAAAGAAACCTCATTTCTATCTCCTCTGGAAGTTGTGTAAGATTACATTACGTCGCGTAAGCGTTAGCGTAAAGCAATATCCTAAGATCATACTCACAGAAAAATATTTCCTTCATTTAAACTCGTTTGAATGTTCCATATTATTTATATCATTGTGGCCGATTGTCACGAAAGAGTCACGTCTATCTGGTTTTGCATACTGCAATTTCTACAGATAACTTTTTCTAGAAATCCACTTTTTATAAAACAAAGAAAATGGAAGGGAAAACACATCTAGGAGTTATCCAATTGCATCTTACCTTTATTCATTTACGTAGTCTGTATGAAATGACTCACCAGAAATTATTTATTCCCTTCAAAATTATCACATATAACTTAGTTATTTTATATCAAACTAAACTTACCAAGTAAGCTGGGATAAGTCATGATTCATACTATCTTATTTCGATGCATGTTACGGCGTTGGAGTCAGGATGCAGCTCGCCAGCCCGCTATTTTACCACCTTTTTTTAAATTTGAAGTACTAGGCTTCTGCGGCCAGAGTCATGTGCATGATCTTGGCTCTCCGGGTGACGCCGTGTCGAAGATTGTGTTGCCAACGTTTCGACCATCTTGTCGTGGTCTTCCTCAGGGCTGGTATGCCATGGGCATACCAGCCTTGAGGAAGACCACCCGGACAGCAAAGATCATGATTTTTTTTAAATTTGTCCGAAAGTACGAAAACATTTTTAAAATTAGCTTCGGCTATTTTACTTGGGAAAAGAGATTCATCAGATGAACTCTTTAAAGCAGATAAACGTCGTTTTGAGATCAAAAATCGAGTTGATAAAAGAGCTCGTGCGTATACTCCGCTTCTTTTTCCGGTATTTGACGGAAGATCTTAGAGCAAGGTGGAGTGATAACAGAAGACCTTTGAAGTAAAATATATCTAAAATAAGATGTGAGGAGATGGAATAATGCTGATATTTACACAATGAGTTCCTTTTGTTTTAAAATACAGTTCCAAATCGGAATCAAAAAAATTTAAGGCCTCAAAAAAATTTAAGATGGTATTCGAAGGAAGATGGAAATATGTGAAAAAGATAGTTATGTACTACTACTACAGACCGTTTACCTCGGTCTCTAATAGTAGTAAAGCATCTCTAGTTTGGTATCTGTGGAAAAATAGATGGAGATGCAAAGTGACGAAAACTGAAACCAACTGTCTGGCTTGCGTATCCCGCTAGTCCCGCCTCCTCCGCCGGGGCTGGCCGCACGCCGCCTGGACACCAGTAACCCGGGCGAGGCGGGAGTTTATTTCCTTCTTGGGGTACAACATACGCCGCAGCTCTATGGCTTATGCGGCAAAAAGGGGGCAGAACTTACTTATTTCTAACTTAACCTATGGATGAAGCTGGCATTTAGCTTTAAGCATCTGTACCAGTTGCATATTCTGTCCATCTTAAGGAGACATGACAATCTTAAATTGCTAATCGATAATGTAAATTATGAGGAATATAAATGGTTGATCTGCGGTGATTTAAAGGTTTTGTGCATGTTAGGACAACAACAGGGTTACAACAAGTACCCATGTCACATTTGTGAATGGGACAGCCGAGATAAAAAGGATCATTAAACAACATGAGAATGGCCTAGAAGAAACACACTGTTTCCAGGTTCCAAGAACGTTATAAAATATAGCTTAGTAGATCCTGACAAAATCTGTTACCTCTTTTACACATTAAATTGGGATTAATGAAGCAATTTACTAAGGCACTGGATAAAAATTGAATTGTTTTAAGTACCTATCGGACAAATTTCCCACCATCTAAGAAGGAAACATCAAAGACTTATCTTTGTTGGGCCGCAGTTCAGAGTACTAGCAAACGATAAACATTTTGAATCATGTATGACACCTCCAGAAAGGGAAGCTTGGATTGGCTTCAAAGAAGTACTAGTTCATAAGTTCTTGGGAAAATGTGAAGATCCAAACTTTGAGTGTTATGTAAATAATATGCTGATAAAAAAGAAACCTTAGGATGTAATAAGAGTCTAAAAGTGCATTTCCTTCACTCTCATTTAGACTACTTTCCAGGAAACCTGGGAACAGTAAGTGAAGAACAGGATGAGAGGTTTCACCAAGATACTAAAGACGTTGAAAGATGCTACCAAGGGCGATGAAATACAGCAATGCTGCCGGACTACTGTTGGTTACTGCAACAATGTGATCCTACTTGAATGCACAAAAGAACCATTGGAACATAATGATTTTTGTTTAAGTGACAATGATTTTATTGATTGCTAATATGCGTGAGAACAGTCATTTTGACAGTAAAGTGTAACATTAACAGTAACAGTAATGTCCTTAAGTTAATGTGTTTAATTTTTATTTTCTTAACTCTGTTATAAAAAAATAATATAAGGTAAACTGTATTTCAGTTTTTAATTTTGTTCAAACAACGTTTTCAGATTTTCAAGTTAAAGATATTATATTATAAATTTTAAATGTACATTTTTTTAAAAACATGATGTGATATGGGAAGATGGAAGTCAATTTTGGAAACCTTGCACTTTAAATATGTAAAATCAGTTATTAGATCCAAAAAAAGGTGAGAAATAGGTTTTTTTGTAGACCTGTGTAGTTAAAATGTATTTCGTATGAAAATTGATGTAGGCTATTATGAGCCATTGAAATAAGTAATTTTGAATAGCTTATATAGGAAATGAGGAATATGGTTTACAAATCTTAAAATGTTAGGAAACATTCAAAATTTATTTGACATAAGTATAGAAGATTTCTGTGTTCATTTTATAAATGAATAAATACAAAAACATCATGGATTTTGTAGCAATTGCAATTGCTGTACATTCATTGATCTAAAATGTTGAATTTCAGAAGTTGACCAGGTTCACACAACTTACACACCACTATTCTCTTTCATATAAATCTATATCTTTCTCATGGCAGTGGTTGGTATATATATACAAGGGGGCTGTCTTCTTTTCTCTTGCAAAAGCAAAGTAGTATAAAATGGGGAACAGGGGGAGGCTGAATATTTCAAAAGGGGCCTGTACCACAAGGTAATAAACCATTTTTTTCTGTATATATTATCCAATTCCTGTTAATGTGACAATTTGGGAAATTGATGCACATTAGAGGCTTTGCAAAACCATCTGGTAACCTGTCAACATAAAATCAATTTTATTTATTAATTCTATTATTAAAGTTATAATTGCATTCTTGTTGTAGTATGCATTATTTATTCCCTAGTAAAATATCCCATAGGTAAATAAAAAAAAGTTTAATGCGAAAGGGGGTCCTGAGTGGCCCACAAATTAAGTTGCCTCCCTCCTCCCTGTTTTAAGCTGTGCACGCATGTATTGAAAATTATCCCGAGGGACATTAATGTTCAATAATTTCATCATATTCACTGCTCACATATTAGTAATTCCCATGATTTTCTAAAGTGTTGAAGAATGTTACAAAGTTTGAGATTTATAGATGTGTGCCCCCATTGTCCTGTAATTCTTTTTAAATTCTAGAAGGAACACACGCTTCTATGATGATGTCGTGATGTGAACATCACATCTGGTGTTAGAAGCAATCATGATGAATTAGCTCCTGCATCTAATTCAAGTATAACAAACAGAGCCTATTTCAATTTTGAAGCTCTGTCCTTCTTGCCCAACATCTCGAACTGCTACATCCAAGATTGGAAGACGTGTTGTTTTATCAGTGGTGTAGGTAATAGTAGTTCGAGCCCACTCACTGCGTTTGAACTGAAAAATAAAAACGGTTCATTAGTTTTCAAGGATTCATTTGACTTGAAATATAACAAAAATGTTGGCAATAATTAAGAGAGTAGAGGTAAGGAAACAAAATTAAGGAAATGAATCTTAATCAAAATGTAGGTGAAGACTTTGACTTCTATTAAGACATTCAAATTTGCACAATGTAGCATGAGCAAATGACTCCCATTTTGTTTTTAAACATACCCGGCATTCATCTTCAGTTACTTCATATCGGAATCGCTGATTTCCTCTGGGTGTTATTTCTGCATCATTCCAGGCCAAAAGTTTAATACCTTTTCTGTAAGTTCTTTTAACAGCATCAAAATATGCTACTGAATTCTTACAGTGGTACGTGAGATTTTGTTGAGCATTTCGTGACAGCAGCTGCAGGAAACCAACTTGGTTGCTGTCAGCCTTATATGCCATCTACAAATTTTGAAATAGAATGTTGTGAACAATTGATTTCCAGATTTTTTTTACATATTTAATTTTATTGGTAACTTGAAAACAAACCTTCATTCCCCCTTCTACTTCACTGACCCAAACCTCAGGTTCTTCACCAGTGTATTTGATTTCTGGTGTTTGATTAGGGCTTGGATAAAGACATGTTGCCTTTTTCTCAGCATCACAGTGTACTAAGATAGCATCTCGAATATCTCCTTCATTTGGATCAATCCAGTAATCACCTGAGGATGAAAAAATTCATAATATTTTTAATATTGGAGAAAAGTGGAAAAATACTACTGAATTTAATGTCTTAAATTTGAAGTATATATTTTGAATAATACCTACCACTTGGAGATTCAGGGTATGCTACAAATAGATCTCTGCAAGTTTTTGCAGGAGATGTCTTTTGACCATCTGGTTTACGGAATCTTTCAAATGAAGCCTTGAGGTGTTCATAGGCTTTGAGTACTAACTCGCGGCGAGCTTCATCACTGATATCTGTTCCAAATATACGTGCTGGCTCATCTCCACTCAGAGGATCAGGTCCCTAGGAAAAGAATTAAAAGTAAAGATTTTTAGAATATCAAATCCAAATCCATTTTGCAACATGTATGTAATGAAAATATATAATAAGTATATAAAACATATTATGAGAATAAGGATTGTATAGAACCAATTTGGAAGATATTATTTGTTAAAGAATAAGGAAAAGCAAAGAACATTCAAAATGATAATTGAAACAAGCACGTTGTAATTACAATCTTGAAACCTCATGGCACAGAGCAAAGTTGCTTGCCTTTCACCATGGAGGTCTGGGTTGAATTCCCAGACAATCTCATGTGAAATCTGTTGAAATTTGTTCCTACAAAACTTTGCCTACTTATCAAAGGCTAGACCAATCCCTGTGAAGTGTTCTAAACTCTACCCCTGTCATAATTCCTTCCCAATTCTGGCTGATGCGTAGTGACACAGGAGCGCTTGCAGTAAGAGGCACGAACACATAGATGTTACCTTTTGGTCCTCTTGTCAACTGACTGATGAGACATGACATATTGTGAATATTAATAGATGATTACTCTCAAAAGCGCTCAATGCTTGACCAGGGTTTTGGAGAAGCATTGTGTCAATTAATGGATAACAATGATTAAGACTCAACAACAACAAAAAAGTGCCTTATTTACAAACCTTAACTTGACCCTGTCCTAAAATTGCTGCAATAGCTGCTGCATCATAGCCAAGAGGTTCTCCGGGAGGTCCAGCTGGACCAGGTGGTCCTGCAGGTCCTGGGGGACCATGTCTACCCTCTTCTCCAGGAGGTCCTCGTGGACCAGGGGGACCATTTATTCCTTGGAGTCCAGGAGTACCATCACGACCAGGTGGTCCTGTATTGTCACAAATTATTTTTTAGTGGGATAAATACTGTAATTTCAAATTTTAATTCAAATCAGTTTTTAACTTATTATCAGAATTTGTCCTTATTGAAATTTTTCAAATATGTACTAAATGGAGAATGATTTCATTTTTGCCAAACTTAGATATTCACCTATTCAATGCATAATATTTTCATAAATCAAATTAAAGCGTACCATCAGAAATTTAGTTGGTAATCATGTACCCATCTTTGTTATACTTAACCTCTTTGTTTTTAAAATAATTATTTTTCCTTTTTTTAAAAAATAAAAATTTGTGAAATATTTCTTGTACTAAGAAATAAATTCTAAATTATTATTATACTTCATATTAAATTTCAACATTATTTAATGTTAAATGGATTTCATATAAAAGTTAACATTAAAAGCATAAAATATACTACCTTTAGGACCAGGTTCTCCATCCTTTCCTGGTAGACCTGGTGGCCCAGTCATTCCCTTCTCTCCATGTTGTCCCTAGAGCATTTGATATTGATTTCAGAAAATAATATAATGAGTTTTCAGAGCAACTTTAGATTTTAAAATTTTGTATTTTACTGGAAATACAATATTTCTATGAAGATCTCAGATGTTATGTTACACTTACAGGTGATCCTGGTAAACCTTGAAGACCTATCAACCCTCGGTGACCTTTGGCTCCTTTGGGACCTTCTTCTCCCCTGTCTCCCTTTCCACCCTCTGGTCCAGGTGCTCCAGGTTTCCCACGAGGACCCTGTGTTTTTACGATGGTAATTAATCATAACACATTTATTAAAGGCAAGAATGTACTTTTGTGAAATTTCAATTTAAATAATCCATTTTAATATGCTGATAATGCATACATGAAATGCAAGTACTTGTATTCTTTACTTGTACTTTTACTTATACTTGTCTGTTTATAATACTTAAATGTAAGTAATATTTTTTAATGATACCACTTAATAATTTTTTAAATTATTACCAATGGGCCTTCTACTCCTTGAGGGCCAGTCTCTCCTCGCAATCCACGTTCACCTGCAGGGCCAGCTGGGCCAGTAGGACCTGGAGGTCCCTGTATAAGTAAGTTTCACTTTAGCATTATTTCATAATGAGAAATATCAATTGTAAAAATAAGAAAAGTTTAAAATCTTGTGAGTGATGTAGGCAATAATTGGAGTTGTTTAAATTAGTAATATTTCTAATTGTACTTGTATATTTGAGGAAATTTCCCCACTAAGTGGGAGAAAAAATAGCTCCAATTTGGAGAACAATTCAGTGATTGCAGGGTAAAGGTTAACATAGATTTAGTTAAGTATTTATGATCATTTTCCATTGACCACAGATTTATTGAATGTCTGTATTGATTGTCTTCTAAGTTAGGTGTGTGATTCAGATTTGAGAAGATATTGTCAAGACAATTTTTAGGAAGGGACATTGCACTGATTATGAATTATTATAAGAGGGGCAAAAAAATGGAACATATATTCATAGTTGATTACAGAGTGATAGATGAAGATGTATCTTACAGGAATCCAATGAAAACTTGTAGAACTTGTACAATGTATTGCAGTTGTGCATTCAAATTTAGTGGACCAATTAAGAACTACTTACAGGGAGTCCTGGAGCTCCTGGGACACCTGAATTGCCTGCTGGACCTGGTGGTCCTTTGTCTCCAGTTCTTCCTGCAATACCTGGTGGTCCAACTTTGCCAGGAGGCCCTTCTGGACCCTGTTCACCAAGAGGACCTGCAGGACCTGGGGGACCAAGAAGTCCTTGGGGACCTGGAGGACCTTCATTTCCTGGCTTCCCTGGTGGTCCTGTTTCTCCCTGTAATGATTGTTCAAAACATTTTCTATTTTTTAATATAATATATAACAAATTTATTTTAATCTTTCAATATTGAAGAATGTTTAATGTTTTAATTTTATTATTTTTCAGATTGCTTTTAGATCTTTAGACATAAATATGTATTATTCAGGAGCAGATGGAATGATTATTTTGTAGTTTATTAATTAATATAAAATATACAAAACTAATATTGATTTATTAAAGAATTAAACCAACCTTTGAACTGACAAATGTGATGTGGAATGCTTCTTATAAATTAAAAGATATTGATGACATACTTACTGGAGCACCTCGTGTCCCACGGATACCTGCTGGTCCTGTTGGTCCTGGGAGACCTGGCAGACCTCTGTCTCCTGCAGGACCCTGTGGTCCAGGTTGCCCTGCAGGACCTGGAGAGCCATGTGATCCTGTGTCACCTTTGGAACCTTCAGGACCAGGCGCTCCAGGCTGACCTTGCGGTCCTGGTGCTCCTTGACGCCCTGTATCTCCATGAGAGCCTTTGATCCCAGGCAAACCAGAAGGTCCAGCAGGACCTTGTGGGCCAGGTTGTCCCTGTTGAGACAATTTTTGAATATTTTATTATTGAAATGTTATCAATTTTTGCTTATTTATGATGCATCTAGTATATAACATATTATTGTCTCTCACCAGTCAAAAAGACGTTTTGGTTATAACCAATATTATTTATTATTATAAATAATTAAAATAACTGTGATGCAGACAATTGAATTCAGCAATATATAACTTATAGTTAAAAATATTTTAAATTTAGACAAAAACAGCTTTTGGAAGATTTTGACATTATCTGATCATCCATCTAACTACATTATTGCCAACACTCTGAGCCATCAATTGCTATTTAGATCATAACTATTTTAGAAACATAATTTTTGGTTGCCTTGGTACTAATTTTTTTCTATTTGTAAATACATGAGCCAAAATCCCCTTTAAAAGGAGTAAACATCAGATATCAATAAAATAATGTAATTTTTGATGACACAATCAGTCTATTGATCAAATTAATAATATTTCTATGTGAGAGTTTCTTTTGCATCCATATATACTACAATAGTTATTTTGTATTTAAGAGCATGAAATGATTGTTTTTGCACAATCAAGATCGAGACCTGATGATGATGAGAAATAGGTCTTGATAGGCAAAAAGCTATTGAAATCATAAAAAATACATTAATTCCTCTCATGAAATATAAACAACTCTTTTCTACAATAGTATAAAATGCTTACATTATGATTTGTTTTGTTTCTACTAGTCATGATTTCAATGAAACATTGTTCACACAGCTTCCAAGGAGAGACAGGAAAGTACAGGAGATGAAGTAGAGAAGTATAGAAGAGGTGCAAAGGTAATAAACATACTGACATTCTGGGTGACTTGTGGAGAGGAAGGGCAGTGAGTTTGGTTAATGAGGATGAGTGGTGAGTTCAGGTAACGTTGATGGGCTATGACAACAGGCAATGAGGATGAAAAATAAAACAGTGAGAATGCATAAAAGTGACTTGGGCACTGAGATGACACATTACAAAAACATCTTTTTTCATTGACATGTTATTGCGGGAAAAGTATTTTATAATAGGAATTACAATCTGTCCAGTTGAAAAAGTGTTTTTGCAAGTTATGGTGTGTTCTTCAGATGTCTTCATAGAATACTAATTTCATACATGCTTAGGTGCGTAGAATAATTCATTTTTATGCAGTGATAATTTGAATTAATATGATTGTTCTAAGTTATGCCAACATTGGAAAAATGTTTTTTAAAAAATGTAGAAAGTTTGAAGAGAACTGTGAATCTTTCAGATCAATGAGTATATTAAAAGAAATGAATATATCAGAATACATATGCTTAATTTTATATCAGTTTTGGATATTTTGAACATACTGCTTGCCCTGGTTCTCCTGCCCGACCAGGAGGACCCATAATTCCAGCATCTCCTCTTGCTCCAGGTTCACCACGAGCACCTTTAGGTCCTGTCAATCCTGTAAGACCTGGAGGTCCTGGTTCTCCTGGTTGACCTGTGAAACATCATACAATCTTGCTGTATTTTTGTTGTTCTTGTTGAAATAATGTTAACAAGACTAATGTTTTATGTGAAATATACCCATAGTACATTTATATAAATATATTATGAAAATAAATATTTACATAAATATATAATGTAAATTGCTCAGTAGTAAAGATACCTATTAACTTTGGATTAGATTCCTTATTAGGATTGAAATTCAACACTTTTTATCATTTCTTTGGAGAGAAAAATAAGAATAATCATGGCAGACAGTTTTTATTCTTGGTTTTTAATGTTAGATGACAGGTCATTAAATTCAAGAAATAAAAATCATCATTATGACCAATTAGTGAACACCATATTTTTTTACACATCATTGTAGGATAATAGAGTTTCATTACATTACATCATGACATCAAATTATAAGAAATAACTGACCTGGAGAACCTGAGGAGCCTTGTTCTCCTTTCATGCCTATAAATCCACGTTCTCCCTTCACACCAGGTAGTCCTGATGAACCTTGCGGACCTGGGAAACCCTGCAAGCCTTGTGAACCAGGAGGACCTCTCTCTCCTGGTCCTCCAGGTGCTCCAGCCTCTCCAGGAGGCCCTGGTGGACCAGGGTCCCCTCGCTCTGCTGGTTCTCCAGGTGGCCCTTGAGAACCAACGGGGCCCTGTGGACCTCTCTCTCCTTGTCGACCTGTTTATATGTTACAACAGTGAGTTATAAATTTGCAAAGTCTAAAATAATATGGTTATATTTTTATGTGAAATATGGTGAGTATTGCTAAGATATTTTGAAAATGATATTTTGCTGATATTTCTGATTGAACAATTCCACTTTACTCATGCATGTATTTCAGATATCTAAACTGTAGGGTGTACAAAACAAATTTTTGAAACCAGAAATAATAGTTTTGTTAGAGAAAAGACTCCAGGATATTTATTTTATGAACACTACTTTTCAGATATATCAATAAAATATGCATTCATATAAAATGAAATACTCATTTGTTAGCTATATGTAATGATAATTTAAATTTTTAATTCAATCAATTCTCCTTTAAATTATTTTAATTTCAACTTGCCTGGAGGGCCCTCTGGTCCAGAAGGTCCTGTTGAACCTCTTTCTCCCTTTTCACCATGAGGTCCAGGTTGTCCTCGCATGCCTGGTAATCCCTGTTGGCAGAAATTGTTGTTAAGGAGGTAATTATTTTATTATGTAATTCCTCATATATTGGACAATATGTTAAAAATATTAAAAATCACTTAAGACTTTAAAGTCAAGTTAACTTACAACAAGTCCAGAAGGTCCAGAGTGGCCCTTTTCACCTCTTAATCCCGGAGGTCCCTGAAAACATGAGAAAAATATATGAATACCTGTAAAATTATGTGCAGCAGATTTAAAATAAGCTGAGAATTAATTTTCCACTAATCGTGTTCTATATAAGAATGCCAATTATATTCCATGTTATTTTGAGAAATATTTACTACTAGTGGCCTGCAGCAGCAAAAATGCTGTTTAGCAAAATCACTGAAATTGGTTTTCCAAAAAGTTCCATGCTCACTACTCTAGAACAGCAAATAAAGACTTTCATAGAACACTGCAAGAAATGAAATATTTAAACAAATTCAGTCTTAAAGAATACGCATTAACATCATAATTTAGTATATTTACATTGCAACAATTCTTTACTTTCCAAGAAAATAAAAATAGTTGCGGTACCAAAATGCAACACATGGAGAGAACATATTTAATAGTGAGAAGCTTCTTGGAGCCATGGTAGTGTGTGACTCAGCTGTGTGGTAAGCATTACAGACGTATCAGAATTAAATAGGTAAGCATGGTGTGAGAATAGGTGGAATAACACAAACCCATATTTTAATATTTGCATTTTTCAGTCAAAATTAAAACTCTTTAATTGTGTTTGGATTATTCTCAAGTTCCTGGGGATCTAGCAAACTCATAGACACCTCTATCGTGGCCAGAGGCTGCATAATTTTCTTTCAATTTCTGCTCATATAGAAAATTAGTAATTTAGTTGTGACATTTAATCACAGCTAATAATAGCTAAAAGTACTTGAATTAGATACACAAGATGACATTCCAATATCATAAAGATTCTAATATCATCATGTTGTCTTTGATATTTTATTTTTGGTTGAAAATATTTTCCATAATAATAATAACAACAATAAAATCAATAATAATAATAATAATAATAATATATTATATTATAATATGTTATGTTATATTATATTATATTTATTGAATTATATTATATTATATTATATTATATTATATTATATTATATTATATTATATTATATTATATTATATTGAAGATTTACTTACTGGCAGTCCATCACCACCTTGTGCACCAGGTTCTCCCCGAGGTCCTGGAGGCCCTGGAGAACCTACAGATCCTCTTTCTCCTGGGAAGCCTCGTTCTCCTCTTGAACCAGGGGATCCAGGAATGCCGGGAGGTCCTTGAATACCTGCTTCTCCATCCTTACCAGGGATGCCAGCATTACCTGCAGCACCTGGAAGACCCTATACAAGAAATTTTACTATCATCCATTGTTTTAGAACAAAATTGTTACTTTAAATAATTTAAGACATGCTTCCTGTTTTACCTGGAAGCCTCGTGGTCCTACAGCACCTGGAGGCCCTCTTTCCCCATCTGCTCCAGGAGGACCAGGGGGACCCTGAATGCCAGGAACTCCATCTTTCCCTGAATCTCCTCGAGGTCCAGGATTTCCTGGCGGTCCTGGTTCTCCATCCTTACCTGGTTCTCCCTGAAAATGTACAAATAAACAATGAACTGTAAAATCAGTTAAGTGACTTCTTGCAAATATCTCCTACAAAGATTTTTCCTGTTAATTCACAAAAGGAAATACATATTCATTTAGAAAGAATATCTAAATGAATTGTTATTTGATAATTTTAGGCTGAATTATTATATAAATATATCACTTACACCAAATCCTCTTTCGCCAGGGGGTCCCAAAGGTCCGGGAAGGCCTTGCAGACCCTGTGGCCCTTGCTCTCCTGGTTTTCCATCGGCTCCTTGGATTCCTCGTTCTCCAGGATTACCAGGTTTTCCAGGAGGTCCAGTTCGACCTTGTGGTCCACGCAGACCCTGAAATATGTCAAATGCATATCTGAACATAAACGTAACCAGTGGAGCATATTTGACATTGACTCTTCACAGAAAAAGGGTTCAAAACATTAGTTCTAGCCATTTAATAATGAGTGTTTATAACATATTTGTAACTGTTAACAGTCCTCAAAACTCCTCAAATCAATGAAAAGACTGCCTAAAATAAAGCAACTTTCCATTTCTGTTTTGATTGCTATTTCAAATCAATAATATTTGGGAAACAAACCTGAACACCGGGAGGTCCTGGTCTGCCTGCATCTCCGGATGTTCCTTTAGTACCTTGGGGTCCAACTGGCCCTCTATCACCCGTTTGCCCTAGGAAAAGTTTCAATAGTATCAAATACTTACTACTAACTACTGATGGTAACATGAGCTGTTAAGTAAGTTTAGTCTGTTATATCTCTATTAATTAATTTTTTTTAATACTTCATTTCTGTTAAAGACATTGGTAGGCTTAATGAAAGGATTCGGGAGAAATTATTATATAAAATAATGGTAAAATATTAAAATGATTTAATGGCTGTAGAATTTCTTAACATCCTCCAATAATGGAAAGACTAATATCCCAGGCTGAATTTGAATTAACAACCTTACATTGAGACTTTTTTTGCCTGAAACTCTCCTAGTTCTGTGTTAGTTGGTTATGTATATTGATTTATTACTTGTATTGATAGAGAAATTGATCTAAGAATTAAATTCATTTTATGAAATGTAGATTTTTTATAAATAGGTGGGGGGTCTATTTTAAAGGGAACCTCTTTCACCTTTAGGTCCCACAGCTCCATCTGGTCCAGGAAGACCTCTGGCGCCTGGTGCACCTCTTTCTCCTGGTGGTCCTGCTGCACCTGTTGGCCCTCGCAAACCTCTTTTGCCTCGCTTTCCTTCACTTCCTGAAGGGCCAGGAAGACCTCGAGGGCCTGGTTGACCTGATTCTCCTTTCATTCCTCCTTCACCCTTAAAACCTCGCTCTCCTGGAGTCCCCTGTTAAAAAAGGCAAAATATTTTTTTAAAAGTATTTCAGTGACATAGTATTTCATATTTTTTGAAAAAAATAGCTTTTTTGTGTTATTCAATCAGAAATTGTGTATACCAGTTCCTCTCTACATAGTATGATAATTAGGCTATAGATGCAGACGCACTGCAGTGACACAGTATTTTTCTCATATAGCTAATGTAAACTGTTCCATCTTCTGTAAACTTTGTTTTTGTTCTCCTGAAAAATTTCATTTAAAGGATAATGGCAAATAAGAAAAAATCATAGTTTTACTAACAGGACTGCCTTTGCTGCCAGGAGCACCTGGGCTGCCTGACAATCCAGGAGGACCTCTTTGCCCAGGAAAGCCGGGGGGACCTGATAATCCAGCAGCTCCCGGACTGCCCTTCTCTCCTGCTGATCCGTCCTTTCCAGGAGGTCCTGGAGGTCCCAGATCTCCTGGCTGCCCAGGTCGTCCTGATTCACCTGGGAGGAAAGAATAAACACTTAGACACTCACATAAATTTATACACATTTCATTTTATGGCAGAGGAATGATAAAATTAGGTTTCTGAAATATCAGTAATCTCTTTAATGTGTCTATAATTCTTGTTGAGTTTAGTGTTAAAATTCGGCAAATTATCAATTAACAAGCTTCATAAAAATGAATTTTATGGTAATGAAGAAAGTTAGTTCCTCTCTCTCATGTTTGATTCATGCGAACACAAATGTTTATGAAAACAAATGCACAAACACGAATATCACGAAATAAAATCACAAACACGAATGTTTATGACAATAACATACCTCGTGGACCTTGCAGGCCCTGACTTCCTTTAGGACCTTGGCTTCCTTGGTCACCCTTTGATCCTGGGCTACCAGGAAATCCTGGAGGTCCAGGTTTACCAATAGAACCCTATACAAAGTATTTTTGAAAATCAGATCAGAAAATCATATATTTTATTATAGAATGGTCAGGACTTTTCATACTCTTAAAGTATCTTAGATATTGTGCAACTAAATAAATATAAAGATAAATTACTGACACTGTCTTGTATATAAACATTATTTTCTTCTAACTTTTGCAATAGTGTGTTATTAAAATTTTATAGCATTAAATTTATGGCAAAGTTTGTCTTTGCTACTTACTGGAGGGCCTGGGGGACCTGCTATTCCATCTACACCTCTGACTCCTGGAGGACCTGGGGGTCCTTCTCTGCCTCTCTCTCCTCGAGGACCTGCTTGTCCCTGAAAAAGGTAAAAAGTGGTTAAAAACACCTCAGAACTCTGTGCTTCTTCATCTGAGTGGTCAGATATGTTCATAAGCATGTTACTAAGAATTTTTTGTTTATATTCTTTCATTTACATTATTAATATTCAAGATAAAATTAGTACCACCTCTACATTATAATTTGCTGATAAATTTCTGTTGTAAAAGTCTGAAAGAATTTATTTGGAAATTTTCGATCTTCAAGTGGTATTTAATAAGATTATTGTGGTGTGAAGGGTAATAAGTGACAAACTGCTTGTTTTAATTATGAATCAGTGATGCAACATGTGTTGAGTTGTATTAAAACTTGAAGTGTATTTAGAGATGCTACATTTAGCAATATTGATAAAAATGCTAATTGTTACCAGATGTTGAGAAAAATTAATAATTGTATATTTGACAGTCAATGCAGTCTATTTATGAAGGTTTTCATTTATGATAAAATGCAAAATCGATTGCAAAATGTGAAATCTCACACAAAGTGTGAAATAGGCATAAATCTGCAACATAAATGCTTAATTGAATTTTATGGTTTCCTTAGTGTTTGCTCTCTAACTAGAGATGTGACATCAATCAAACATGTTTCAAACAATTTTATTTGATAGTAACCAACAGTGTGGAAGCTGAATGATATTTCAGTTAATATAGTTTCATTGTAACTGACAGAAGAAATAGGTTATAGACAGAAAGAAGCCAACATTGAAATATGATCTCACTTAATTTTCCACTGATTGGGTTTCATATTGATAATAGGAACTTATATAAATTGATTTCATTAAACCAAATACATGACCTTTTATAAGAATGTTTTGTTGTTTTAATAAGTAATTACAAATTGCAAGACAATCCTTTTCTTCTCCTTTGAATAGTATTATTTAGAAGCCTATTGTTCTATCCAAAACAGAAATCAATCTATGGATTTAAAATTACTTTTTTAAATATTTGTTGAAGTTTACAATTGGTGAAATATTAAATTACATCCCCTTATTTCCTGACGTTAATGGGAAAATCTAAAAAGCAACAAAATATTTTTTTTTAATCATAAAGAGACCTCTCTCAATAATAATTTTCTCAACAAATGCTACAAAATGCTAAATCTTAACTTTTATAGGGCTACAAAATACTATAGCTTTGTTTTCAAATTGCTTTTTTAAATTTAAAGTACTAAATTCTACCATCACTAAGCATAATGGTTATAATTATTCCTTCTTTATAAAACTGTCAACTAAGTTTATTTAAAATATTTTATTGGTATAAAAGAAATGATAAATTATTTTCAAAATTTTGATATGTAAAATGTGGTCCTTGAGCCCACAAGCATAATATTTATTGAAAATATTTATAACTCTAGAAATGAAAACATGATTTCTATTGAGCTGTCAAATTTTTTTTTTTTTTGCATTAAAAACTACAGCTTGTAATCTGTCAAAATTTTCTCTTTTATCTATTATTTTATTTATTTTGGCCTATTTTCTTTAAATAAAATTGAAAGTTTTCTTACTGTAGGTCCAACAGGGCCCATATGACCTGGCGATCCTTGTGCTCCTTTCTCTCCAGCTTGTCCTTGTTCACCCTTTGCTCCATCAATTCCTGGAAATCCACGATGTCCTTTGATTCCAGGTAGGCCAGGCATGCCTGGCAATCCTCGATTTCCTGGGGGACCGGCTGGTCCAGGCTGACCTGCTTCTCCATCTTCTCCTGATTCTCCCTATCATAAAAAATTATAAATGCATTTCCATGGAAAATAATTAGTAAACATTAAAACCATGCAGTGGTGTAGCTTCAGTTAGTGTCACCTGGGGCAAAACTAATTTATCTTCCCCCTCATAAATTACATATAAAAATATCTATTATTAAATAGTTTATACTTTATTTAATAAAAATACAAGTACACAAGGTTTTCAAAACCCTTGTCTGGAAACACTACCTCTTGTTTTGGAAATTTGGCTATGCATGAAATACCTTTGGGATCCCTTTCTCTTTTAGCAACCCATGGACATTTGCCCTCAGATTTCGGAGTGAGAGAATGTGGCTAATTTCAGTTGGAAGAAAGAGAAAGCACTTATTCTGTCCTTGGTAATCTTCAACATACTGCAGTCAGAACCACCTAAAGTCGATTTGTTTCTTGCTCATGTGTCTGCTCACCCCTTCCCACCCCATCCACTCTGTGCAACGCAAAAAGCTTCCGGCATGTGAGCCATGAACCAGCCCACCTCAGCTCTTGAATGGGAAAAACACAGAAACAAGGAAAGTTGCTACGACTTATGACCTGATGGTTGTCTCTGCTGTCTCAACGTGTGAGGCATGGCTGTCGTGAAAGGTAGCAAAAACATGCTGTTGCCAAATTGCCAAAACAAGAACAAGTGCTCTCAGACATGGATTGAGAGCTAAGATAAAGACCCTGTATTTGCACATGACATTTATTTATAATATATGGGAAAACTTTTATGTAATTCAGAATCATTAAAATATAATTTTTAAATAAACAATCAGCAATGATGTATAACTAATTAACATATTGAGGATATTTGTAAAAACACTTTTCGGGGCTTAATACAATTTTCTAATTGATGTCACCTGGGGCAGATTGCTTCCCCCGCTGCTTTCCCTAACTACACCACTGAATCTACTTTTTATCTAATAATAATAACATGCCTGAAAATTTTGATTTTGTGATAATATATCAAAGTTTTGCATGAGAACATGCAATATTTTGAATTATTTTGTGCTAGATGGAAGACTTTAACAATCAGGTCTTACATCTTTGCCAGGGAGTCCAGGCAATCCACGTGGTCCTGAAGGTCCCGGAGGTCCACTTGGACCAGGGTCCCCTGGCTCACCACGAACACCTTGGAAACCTTGTGGACCTGGAGGACCTGGAGGTCCTGTAAAAGAAAAATGTGTGTATGTTGTAATCATTGATTCATTGGCCTATTAAAGCAATGAAAACAAAGAAACATTGCTTTCTAGATGACTTTTTAAATTAAAACTACTTTATATTGTTTCTCAAGTATATTTGCAATGTCAATAATGTCTTTTTATATCTACAATTCATTCTTGAATTTTCTGGAACACCTACCTGGAGCTCCCCGAGGTCCTACTGGTCCCACCTGTGCTTGGATGTAAGCTGATTCTGGTCCTAAGGATGCAACACCAAAACCAGTTCCTGGACCTTTATCATTGGTTGCATATTGCTGGGATAAAGCTGTTAGATAGTGGGTTAACTGAAATAAAGCAATAGAATGACACATATTTAATTTGAATATATATTTGAGTCTCCTTTCTATTAAATTAGAATTAGATGTACAGTACAGTCCCATGCATGTACATATTTGAAATATTAATCTTAAAGAAGACACTTATGGAAAAGAAGGATTCTGTTACTCTAAACACAGAAGTTCATTACTGTGATTCTAGACAAAAAAGAAATCTGCATGTCCCACACAGTGAAACTTCACTCTTTTCAAAAGTACCCTTATAGAAGGAATTACACTACATAACAAACTCTCTAGTAAATTTAAAAGCCTTAACTCAATACTCACATTCAAGAATAAACTGAAAGTTTTCCTATTAAACCATACATTCTACAGTTCAAAAGAATATAGAATATAGGATCATAAATACTTATCTACATCAATATAAACTAGTAGGTCTACTAATATGTTTTGCATATTTTGTTGCATGTTTTCAAACCCCCCAAACTTATTGTTAGATATAAAGGAAGAATCCAGCCTCAGCATCAATCTCATATAAAGACATTTTTTTCTTATTTGTTTCCCTTTCCTTTTTATTATTATTATTTTTCAATTTCAGTCTTCTTGCACTAGCACTTATAAAATTAATTAGCATCCTATTATATGTATTTAGTATGAAAATTGGATTGATGGTTAAGCTGTAAAGAGTGTTTTATTTACTTACATCAGGAACTGGACCTGGTGGTCCAGGGTTGCCTGGAATTCCAGGGGAACCTGGGTGCCCAGGTATACCTGCACTGCCTGGTCTTCCTGGTTCTCCTGGCCTTCCGATATCACCCTTAAAATTAGAAAATAATTTTAACACATAAGATATGAAGGTGAAAAAATATATATTTACTTAAATATTTTACTCACTGGGGGTCCTGGGAGTGGATATAAATCTGGGTTAGCTCCTGGGTTTCTTTCAGGAGTGACCTAAAAAAAGAAAAAGAAATTCAATGGATGAAAAACTATTAAATCTTGGGAGAGGTTCACAACCTGTTACTTCTACTTGAAGAATGACAACTGATCAGACATGGTGACCATTTGTCCCTCAACACAGTCCCTCAACTCTCACCGACAACGACATCCCTTCTTTGGGGGAATTTACCCTTTTCTGAAGATACGTCTGCGAATTCCTTACTTTTCCCTCTCAGTGAATAAATCAACAGTAATACACAGTAAATGTAGAGTAGAGTAGAGTTGGGCATTATTAAAAATACTTGAATTCAAAATACGTATTTTCGATACTTTTTGTATTTTGTATTGAAAATACACATTTGAACATGTATTTGGTTTTTTGTTTCGAAAAACATTTCTGATAGTATTTTGTATTTCAAAATACAAAAATGCTTTTATTGATTCACCGTTGAGAATTTGAATATAAATATACAGTTAAACGTGGAAAACACAAACATACACGAATTTTTACTTTCGGCGTTGAGAGAAAATTATGTAAAGCTGGGCGAAAAAAACGGCGAAGTTTCGGCTGAAAACTCTAATTTCAGGGCCCTGGTAATGAAACAGGAGATAGTTCCAGTTTCTAAAGTCAGAAATAAAAATCTTCTACCACGTAGAGTGGCCAGAATCCATGTTTTGTGGATCCTTGATACCGAAAAATCGAATGACGGCAAAACATCTGTCTGTCCGTCTGTGAACAACGTTAGAGGCTAACCAATTCAGCTGATTTTCTCCAAAATTGATATTCCCCTGACATTACATGACGCCACTGGGACACTTTTCGTAATTAAAAAAATGGCCCCATCGATTTTGAATTTTGTTGGATAATGTGAAGAAGTATTCTTCATGTCTTCCGGGCTGATGGTCCGTGGTTCAATTGGCTCTGAGATGCCAAACGTTTCGCTCACGACTGCGGTGGGCATCTTCACCCACCGCAAGATGCCCACCGCAGTCGTGGGTGAAACGTTTGGCATCTCAGAGCCAATTGAACCACGGCCCATCAGCCCGGAAGACATGAAGAGTATTGACTCCGGCCGTGAAAGCCTACAATGCTGTATAATGTGAAGAAGGTTTAAGAGAATGGCGCAGGTCTCATATTCGTTGAAAGCCCTGCTCTTTCGAAAATTGCAAAAGTTCAAAATGTTTTGAACAGTTTTTTGAACTACCTACAACTAAGATATTAAAGATAGCGATTTTTGTCAGAATGAAATTTGTTTCTTAAAGATAGATTTTGAAGTAAGGTCTTGTTCAATTTTTCGAAAATTTGAGTTCTTTTCGCGTAATTTTGAGTGAAAATATGGGCGAGAAAGAACGTACTGTTTTAGCGTCACTTTTGAAGCAATTTTTCATTCCCTGAAACCTATTTAAAACACGTTTTTGGTAATTCAACATTTTAGTTAATCGAAGAAAATTTATTTTCGGAGGCAGTTCGAGATATCGATTGACGGATTTTGGAGACCACTTCACATACGTTATATTATATTGTCACATTATGCATCGTCAGCTGTCTGGAAGGTGGTTGAGCACTGATTAAAAGCTTGTGCTTGCGTCTTGTAAAGAGCTAATATTACGATGTGTGTGGAAACTGATAAATTATCAAAATATACTAGACTAGATAAAACATATTTCACTGTTTTTGAAGAGTTAGGTGCTAAACAGGAAGCGTCATATGAAATTTGTAAGCCTGCCAAACGGACGTGGCACAAACAAACAAAAGCGTTCCTTACAACTTGATGTCAGAGCCTAGAAGGGTCTTCTTGTGGTGTATGCAATACATGGGCGGGGATATAGAATCTGTATACCAGAAGATCTACAGATTGTGAAATCACGTGAGGTTGGAGAGTCGAGCAAATTCAGAGAAAAATCAACTTGGGAGCAGTGAACTACGTACATCTGGAAGAAATGAAGAAACAGAGGTCATCAACTGTTGCAGTTAATCACGTCCAGCGAATACAAGAGATGAAACTTAGAGAAGTTTCCGACAAATCAGAAGTCTGAGCTGGAATTTAGAGGTTTTCAGATGCTGAGCATGACTTCGATAATTTTTGAGATTCAGGTGCACAGGAATTTAGAGACCATGTGAATTCTAGACAGTGTGAATAACTTGAAGCTTCGCGAGCTTAGAGTAGTTCAACAATGAAAGAGAGGACGACCAAGGAGATCATTCGAAAAACATGACATGCCACTTCGATGGAAACATTCTAAAAGCTCAGGGACCTCAAATGATGCTGACGTGCTTTTGCATTATGTGCATGGTAAAAGATGTATTATAATGAAAACCCAACTTCTTTGCAATCGCCACCTGAAAACTTGTTATCGGAGCCTAGAAGTGTCTTCTTGTAGAGTATGCAATACATGGGCGGGGATATAGAATCTGAATACCAGAAGATCTACAGTTTCACAAAAATCACCTGAGTCAGCTGGATGCAAGCCATGAACAAGATATTGAATGGCTAAGGAGACACAACGCCTGGACCTTAATAGAACTACATTCGGATGTAACAATCATTAGATGCAGATGAGTAGTTAAACAGAAGATAATGAGACTGGAGAATTATTTTGTGTACAAATTATTGCAATAACATAAAATCTCATCTGGATTAAGATGTGGAGTCTCAAAACATTTCAAAAACATTTACAATTTTCACCTGCGTTTCTCTCTGGAATTATTGCTCCTTAGAATTCACAAAACCTAGTTCACGTAACTTAACCATTTCTTAATAACATTCATTTGTTTCGAACTTACGTTCTGAATTAAGCTACTTCTTGCCTTTTTTCAGAGGTTCAACGCTTTTAGGTACGACTGATCGCGAAAGGGTTTTCTCAGGAGAAAGGCGTTAACTACGATGAAATTTATGCTCCAGTATACAGCTTTGGAACCATGGTATTACTGATTGCAGATGGTGTTGAAAAGAAATGGCTTATGGACCAATGTGATTTGAAGTCAAGCAACTTTCTAAGTGTCCTGAAGGAAACAATATACATGGAGCATCCAGAGGGTTTCATGCGAAAAGATGAAGAAAGGTTAGTCTGAAAACTGCATAAATCAATGTAGTATGGTTTAAAGTATGGTGGAAAATGTTGGAACGATCACCTCAATTTAAAATTAGAAGAAATTGTTTTTAGACGGAACAAAATTGATCCTTGCGTGTATGAAATGAACCCAGACGGTGGGAAGGCAATACTGGCTGAATAGTGGATGATATCTGATGATATCCTTGCACAGCAGAAAATCAACAGCCTGAATATCAAAGCCTTTGGAGAGCGGCTTCGAAACAAATATCTGGGGAAAATGTCACCTAAGTTGGAGGTGAGTCACTGCACACGAGAACGGCAGTCACCCTTTCGCAGGAAGAGTAAGTGAAAAGATTGCTGCAAAACTTTGGCTTGGAGATGCAAGGGGCGCTAAAACTCCAATGGAAACAAAGTCTGCATTCCTCAAAGAGGATGTTAAGGGTAACTTCATTGACTTTCATTGCAGAGAAGTCATTGGGTGACTCCTAAATATAGCATAGAAGACCAGATCCCTTCTCTACAGTGGAGAAACTGTACCAATATTTCTCAAAGTCTAACCAAATCCACTGAAGTTGACCAAGAAAGTCCCCTGGCACCCGAAGGACCTCAAAAGCTATGGCGTCTCCTATAGGCCCACCGGCCAGTCTTGCCGTATACAGTGATGCAGACTAGGCGAGCTGTACAGCTGGCCGCAAGAGCTGATTATCGCAGGTGCCCCATTGCCTGGAAGAGCAGGATGCAGGGGGTAGTGGCGCTCAGTATCATGGAGGCAAAGTACGCGGCACTGGCACACTGTAAAAGAGGAGTGTTTTGGGTAAGCGAATTCCGGAAGTGCCTAATGCTCCAGGACCGACTACGATGGACTAACTGTGCTTAGAAGTGACAGTCAAGCAGCCTTTGCACATGCCCAAAACTATGTGGACAGATCCAAGACTAAAGTACTTCAGTAGTGACCGTAATATCGCAAGCATCTTTACGAAGCCTTTATGCCAGAGGCTATATGAAGTTCAGTGCAAGTCAACTTCTTCATCTGTTTGCGGAGGATTAAGATCCTTCCGAGAGGAGGGGGGTTGTTGGGTCTTTACTGAGTGTTTAGTGTTACGGATAAACTGTTGTTTGCTACAAGTTGGCAGCATTGTGTTCAAATGGGTGAAACGTAAGCCAGTGTTGCTGTTCGTTGAGGAAGCCATGAGCTGAATGATGATTTAAACTGTTTTTTATCATCTATTTCTCGTGAGTAACAATTGCGAAGAGACTTCAGGGAATAACATTAATTTATGTGAACTGAAATCTGCTTACCGGTGCAAGATCAATCTTGGTTTCTTCACTATCCTCGTCATCATCATCATCTGTAACATGAAGCATCACAGGAATTATTATCATAAAGGTTTATGAATTAGCAGAGAATTTTCAAATAGCAATGAGTTTTAGATTGAAACAAACATGTAAAGGGGAAACTAATATCAGATAGAGACATGTGAACAGCTTCTGAAATATTTATTACACGGTATACTGTATTAGTTCGACATTGAGACAATTGAATCCCCCCATGCAGAAAGGGTGCATCTTACATTTTCACAACTTTACTGGAGATAGAAAAAACGATTTGCAAGAAGACTTATCAATGTTTTATTTCGTGACTTTTTCTGCTGATAACTTTACATTATCTGAAAGTAACATACTACAAAATAAATTGAAATATTTTTTAACATTGTTGATATTTCAAAAAACAAATTTGAAACATGTACCCTTTTTGCATTGGATGGGTATCTCATGACACTTTTTGATGATAATAATGTTTCTGGCAATGCTTACATCACAAATATGATTTTATTCTCATTGGCAATACAGAGTTTAAAAAAAAATTAAGGGCGAATGATGTCAAAAATAAATTTTGAACTTAAAAAAATCATAATTTTCTTTTAAGTTCAAAATTCCTGTATTTTATCAGCTTACATCTGTAGAATCATTAGAGCTTAATATACAAGCCTTGCAAATGGCTTGAATACCCTTTGTCTACGAATGATTGCAAATACATAAAATCTCATATGGATTAAGCTGTGGTCTTAAAATATTTCAAACGACATTTACAATCTTCACCTGCGTTTCTCTCTGGAATTATTCGTTCTTAGAATTCTCAAAACGTGGTCCACTTAACCTAACCATTTCTTAATAACATTCATAAACTGAAATTAACTTAACGTCGTATTAAAGAGTGCAATTACCACTATCCGTTCGAAATGTTTGAAGAAACAGTTTGGAGCCGTTTTTGAGAAAATGGAGTTTGAGCGTTTCTGAAACTGCGGAGTTTTGACAGAAAACGATAGAGTTTTCGAGAAACTTTACATGACATCGTTTAAAGCACATGAACTTATAAATACAATAATGTGAACAAGTTGCCGCTATTATAAGTATTAACGACATGAGAGGCATGTCAAAAATTACTTTTTTGTAATTTAGAAAAAATAAAAGAATAGAGCAACATGGGGTTTATGTCATCTTACATAGTATATTTAGCACTATCCCTACCAAAGTAGGGATAAATAAATATATGCACTCACCATCAGAGACAGAGAGGGACTTCCTTCCAGAACGGCCAACGGACTAATAATTAAATATACATTTTGAATCGCAAAGAAGAAAATGAGTTCTCAAAACATAAATAATGCATTCAATACTGTCAATAACTGACTGAATTTGTGTACTTTCCAAAACTCGCAAATTTCATAAAATTAAATTTTCAGATAGTGCCAGACGAAGACAGAAAATTGGGATTTCCCTGGGGACGCCGCGCTCTGTGACCCTATATTGAAAGCTGTTAAAGTGTAAGGCCAAAGAGTAAATGCATTAAACGCAGTAATAGAAGCAAGAACCAAGCGCCAGTTGCGAGCTCTTTGGCTTCAAAATGATTTCACATACATCTAGAGGGAGTTAAAACCATCATAATTGCCTTGGATGATACCTACTCATGCTGTGCCACTGTCAATAATGATAACAATTTTATTGCCATTGTCTGCAAAATTCCTTGTTCCTCAAATTTTGAAAACCTATTTTATACTTTTTACGTGTAATAGTGTGTATTGCACCTTTGAATTTATTACATAAACTTTGTATATTGATTTCTAACAATATTTCATTGCACTCTAATGTCACAAGCACAAAGTAAATAATCACCCCTCTTATTTCTGTCCTTTAAATTATTTCAAGTAATTATTATAGATAGATATTAAGTTTTCATTATTTCTCATTTATACATTAATTAAACTTGACCTAGGGGGCAAATTAATGCATCATACCTGCGCATACAGGGCAGCATTGACCCAAAGGAATATAGCTTCTTCCTGCACAGTCTACAACTTCACAAGTTACTCCACCACAGTCTCTACCACCTGAAAATCAAAAACATTCAAACAATTATTTACAAAATAATTTAATTTATTTTTCAATAAACGGTAAAATAGATTAAACATAATCACAAAAAACACGAAACAATGCACAAACTTGTACGTCTGCCTTACAAAGGAAGCAGATGAACACAATGGAATGACTCTGCAATGTCTACAATTGTTAGGCTACAATATTGTATAAGAGAGTCATTCCATTTGCTACATTTTCATCCTTCAGGCTAATTGTATCTTTTAAAAATATTGCTGATCTCTATAAAATAGTTAATTGCCACGAATGCAATGTTTGATTTCACAGTTTTGTTGTAGAGCATTTTTAATAGAATATTTCATGCTCAAACCCCAGGGGGATCAAAATATTTTATCTTAGTTTCTTATGACAGATTGTTGTATACATTGGGCCTGAGGATAGGAACTCTAGAAATTTGTGACATGTTGGATGCTAGGATGGTGGGATGGTGGATGCAGATAGGAGGGGGTTGAAAATGATCTACTTTGAACTTATAGCGAGAGTTCTCATGCAATGAAGAAACACATGCACGCAATATTAAATGTCGTCTCCCAGATTGGGTCGCAGTTCCTCCTGCAACGGTGTTTGACAAGTACCCTAAATATCTCGGGCTGTGTCAGCACGTGACTGACAAAAAGTGACCATCTTCGACTCCCTACTTGCCCTAGAAGTTTGAAACATTTATTCTGATACTTCTGTAGATACTGGCCCGGCGATACCTTTAGGGAAGATAGAAGACCGGCTAGGTCACAAACATCGAAGGGCGCAACGTTGGACCTATGATAATTGATAAACAATGGATATATTGAATGACTTTCGCCAGTAAAGAAAATTAGTAAAAACTATGCTTCTAAATATGTATCATTGGCTTCTGGGAGATGAGCAGAAGCCACATGAGCTCCCCTCCTCTGGGAGCGTTGGTTAAAATGGTAAAACTAATTTATTTTATTTTCTCGCTGTTACAAATGTAAGAAGAGACAGTACAGTAGAACCCCACTACTCCGAACCCCGTAAATCCTAAATTTCTGACAATTCGAATAAAATTCGGGATGGACGAAAAAATAAACAAAAAAAAACACCTGATTTGTTTTAACTTAATTTATGAACGAAAAAGCATTAACACCGTGTAATTCAACCCAATTCTGAACACTGTACGTAGAAAACCCAAACAGCGAATTTTCGACATAAAAACTCTTGGTAACGGAAAGACTTTGGTAACGTGATGTAGTTAAAATCCACTTCTTGATAACAAAAAATCAATAGACGACAAAACATCTGACTGTCCGACTATGGTAAATGGCTATCGCCTAAACCGTTCAACTGATTTTCTCCGGAATTGATATTCCCTGATTGATCTGAACGAACTCGACACTTTAGGAGTTTGTAAATAATATTTTGATTTTTGGGGGGAATTTACATCCAGACTTAAAAACATTTTCAAATTTTTCTCAAAAATGGCTACAATTTTTTATTAAATTTTATTTTTGGATGGCGTGAAGAATGCTAAGAAAATGGTGCAAGCACCGTTCCTTAAAATCCCATTTTTTTGATTCCCTCCCTATAATATAGGGAGGAAAAGTAAAAAAAGTAAAGATTGCAGGCTATAACAGTTTAAATCTAGATAATAACGTTAGTGAGGAAAATAAATATTTGGTTATTTCTTGCAATACAAATAGTAATAGATAAATTAAGTAATGAGTGGAAAGTAATTTGTAGGTATTATTTACAATAAATGAAGTTGCTAGTATGGGTTCGATAGTTTTTATTTGAAAGCCTACGTCAGAACTAAATTTTAATTTCCTACAATCTTTCAAATATCTTACAGCACGCTATTCTGCCTCATCTGCTCTCCTTCCAGAGTCCTCGTTAAAATCTACAATACGACCAGAGAGGGTGGGCGTAGCAATGCTGCGTGAAAAAACGCGAGAGGTTATCGACTGCAGCGACGCCAATCGCCGCCGTCTGGGGGAATGCGATGACGGGCAGTCGCGCGCGTCCACCTCAGCCCACCCCACCCGCCTTCCCCGCCCATCCCTCAACCCATGTTTCTCGCCCCGCTTTAGCCCCTATGCCCTGTCGCTACCCGTCCTCCTGTCCTACCCGTCTATCTCATCAGCCCTGGCCTGATCTGCACGTCCCTCGTGACCGACCGCTTCTCACCAAACCTTCCTGCTGTTTCCAAGCCTCCCTGTCCCACATCTCCCGGCCCTGCTCCGCCCTGCTCCGCCGCGCCCAGCGCCACCCAGTCCCCGCGCTCCCGCCAGTGGTCAGCTAAGAGGAGCAACGGTCAAGGCTGCGGCGCAGGGGCCAAGAGCGCGACGCGGGTTCGTTGACTCCCCACTCGCCGCGCACGCGTGCTATTTCGAGAGCTTACGGAAGACGAAGGCCGATGCTGATAACCAGCATGTTGCATGCGACATTGTGGAAGCGTTGCTTGAGATGAAGCCGGGTAATGCGTGTGGCGTGTTGCAGCAACAGTTTCAAAACGCCATTTCGTGCCTTTTATTCGATTCTCAATGAATATGCGGGCGTCTTAGCCTGCTTGAAGAGCGTAACGAAGTCAGTAACATTTGGCATATTTTTTTAAATTAATTTGATTACTAAACTACGATGTATTCTAGTTCGTCAATATTGCAAGCATATCTCTTGTTGAATTAATGCAGGAAATGAAACGTCATCACTGCTCAAGATTTTTAATATTAATTGCCATTCATATTTTCGCAACTCTTAAGACAGCCCCAAACCAAAATGTCATTTTTTGATTTACGGCTAGTGTTGACAATTCAATCCAAATATCCAACTATAATTGTACAACCTAATTATTCTTTTATTTTAATCGTTAAGCTGATTTTTCAGTATAAAGTAGTGTATGTTTGGAAAAATTATGAATAGAGAATCGTACGTGAGCGCTCGTTTACATTAATTTGAAAACAGACATGCTTTTCGAAGTTAGAGAAAGAGAGCGGAAGGGAGGTTAGAGAAAATGGCGGCGGCGCACCTGAGGAACACGATGTGCGTTGGACGCATTCCACCTGGCCGCGGCGGCACTTGCAGTCTGCGCAAGCGTCCGGCTGCCATTCGTCCCCGTGCGCGTACACGCGGCCCTCGAATTCACACGAAAGCGGGTCTGCAACAGCCAAAGCGCGCCCGCGCCTCAGATAGGCACGCTGGGAGCTTCTGTGGTAAGCTAAGAGTCGAATCCCTGGATTCAACGTAAATTACTTGGTCTGAGCATAGAGAAGAGATATCTCTCCTCTATGGGTCTGAGAATTAAAAAATAAGAAACAATCGATTTTCCCTTGGCAATGTTTTCTCGCAGAATACGAGACAGGGAACGAATTTGTAGTAATGCAAGAAAGTAATATTTGCTTGTCTTGCTTCGGAAACATGTTAAACATACACGCAGATTGCAATGCCGTTGAAGATTAAAACTGCGTGAATCTGAATGTACTTTGTTAAATGATTTAATTTAATTCATTATAAAGTTAATTACAGTATTTTTTTCTTGAATTGAGAAAATAATTCCTTTCTTCAGAATGAGATCAATAACTTAAAAGATGGTCTGTTACAATTCCCTCCTAGCCCAGAATAATTTTAGTGTTCTTGAATAATTCATTTAACCGACGCTGATCTCTTTCCGTGAGTTTTTTTGCTGAGGAAGATTGGCAAGGTTCGGTGGTCAAGGTTTCTGTACAAGGCAAGCGTACTGAAACATGACTTTCAACGCTATTTTTATCGAGTGTCAAGGAGGATTCATTCTTTGAACGTCTAGCTGGAACAAGTGTTTCGTTTCTTTCTAGAATGTTATCTAATGCATATGTATCACATGCAAACTTTGATCTGAAACGTCAAGTACACAAAACTTAAATTTATTTAAGAGGAGGCAAAAAAACAACAACTTTAAGTGATATTTTATTGTAACAACAACGAAAAAAAGAACAACAAACAAATGTAATCGAAATAATTCCAAAGGTTTTTAACTTTTTTTACATTAGTAAAATACATGCGAACGCTTCTCTGTTTGATTTCTGCGACAAACATTTGTTTCTTCTTAATACATGAGAATTTCGCTTAACAACAGTAGTCACAAAATAAAAGTATCCGATGGGTCACATATAAGAGCACGTAAGTAGTATAATTACTTTAACTGATATGCATCTGTTATTTGTAAAGTTGCTAAACTGCAACTTCAGACACAGTCGTGTGAGGGCAAAATAGTGGGTGACGTATGTCGCACTTCTATCTCTAATTTAGATAATAGTGGCTCAATAACATAAAGAACTATAGACCATAGCTGCACATACTCTTTCTTACATTCAACAATTATGGCGTTTCCACCTTCTTCACTAAAAAAATTAATACAAAGTGAATGATTTCGGATGTAAAATGCTGCGCTAGTGTGCTCCTTTGGTATGTTCTACCGTTTTGGCTTTAGAGGCGTAGATACCCGTGGAGTGTCCCCGTTACGTGATTTTGAAGTCTGTCGTATCGGAACATCATTTGCAAAAGGCAACAACACAACAACAAAAGAAAAACGACGTAACACACAACTCAAAAATTCGGAAGGTTATGTGAGTGTTTGGAAACATGCGTTAGAGGCAATTCCTGAAATTTGGTCGCAGGTGACATCAATAGAAATATGTCACACTTGTTTGGTATAAGACTATCTTATTTGCTCTTCAATTTCGTCAAATTTACAGATTTCTACATTTGTATCCGAAAAACTAGAATTTCGTTTCGGTGAACTTTACTCTGCTCACCGGTTTTACTCACCATAATTATTATACAGTGAATAGACATTAAAGAACAACAAATCATTGAGAAACTGCTGTGCAATAATGAAGTGTTTTCAGATTCACTTCGGTTGCATCAAAATGACTGAAGAAACATTTTCTCACCTCATTGTAAGATATACTCGTTTGGAAGCCCAAAACTTCAAAATTGAAATATATAACATTCAGGCAACTTTTTCATTCGTTCTCTCCAAAATTTCTAAATGTTTCAGGAAGATAATGTTTTCACGAATATAAGAAACGATATAAAAATAAATTTAAAGAAGATTAAAGGGTTATTCACTTTCAATAACTAAAGTAGTTTTTTAGTTATTAAACATTTTTTTATTTTCTCACTGCTGCTTACGTAGTATAGAGAAAGTTAAGTAATGCTCCGGGAAAACAAACTCTTATTGCAGGGTAACGAAAAAGGGGATAAATAAAATTGTTAAATGTAAAAAACCTTCTCTAATACGTGGTGTAGCCATCATCCAAGTTTTGTGAGCTCTTGATACTGGTAGCGAAAAATCGATTACCCGAAAACCGTCCGTCCGCCCGACTGACATAAAAAACAGTTAAAACTGTGTGTGACTGTGTATTGGGAGAAATGTATTCTGTGAATGTTTTCGTAAATTCCGGTATCCATACCCTAACCCATATACATGTTGAATTCTGAATACAAATGGAAATGAGCATTTGTTCTTCGATTAGTAATGATATTTTGCGGAAATTTTCTTAGATGTGAAAAGTATAGAGCATTTAGCATTGCATGTTCAGCCAAGGAGTAACGGATAATTAATGTTAAAACGAGCATATGTGGAAATTATTACAATACTGTAGTATGTAAAAATTATTATAATATATTTTTATCTATTTGCATTTGCTTGGAAATGCTATCAGTGTACTGAGTTGTAAAATGTACATGCCAAACAAACCCCCCATTGTTGCTTTAAAGAGGCAAGCTGAAAGCTGGCAACAAAGCGCTGTAGCGAAAGCCTCTGCCGCCACCGCCGCCGCTGGTGGATCGTATTATTTATTAACTTTTAATTGTTCTACTTTCTCGCATTCTGCTTTCGCAGAATATTGTAGGGCTAAAATACGCATCGGATATGTTTGTGATGCACCGAATGCGCTCGGCGACGGTGTAACGGTTAGCTTATCGGACTGTTATACCCATATTGACGAGTTCAAACTCGATCGAAGTCGTGGACTTTGAAGGGCAAAAAAGTCCTTCGTACGCCTTCCTTCGGAGGGGAAGTAAAGCCGGCTGGCCCATGTTAGTAGATTTACTTGCATGTAAAATATCCTCAAGCCTAAATGACGCCTCTGAGCTAAATTCAAATCGCCTGTTTCTCGCTCAAGAAATACCTCCTTTCTTTGCTAGTTGGTGAAAGGAGCGTAGCGAAATATGCGTGGTCAGACGGAAGAGCAGTCATAATGGCCTGAGTCTCGCCACGTAAAATAAGGCATTAATTCAATTCAATTCAATATATTGTGCTCTCGATTCAATGACACAAATATATCTCCGTTGAAAGTTTTGAATAAAAAATTATACTTGTCACTTCGTTTATTTGCGAGATAAAGTGATATTTGAAGTGTAAGAAAGGCAGAAATTGTGACATAATATTGCATACGGTAACATAATATTGACTGAAAATATGTACTTCTGTAGCACCTCTAGTTAAGAAGTATGTGGTCATGATGTTAAAGTTAAAGAACTAAACTTATAAATTGCTTTCTGCAATTGGATGTAAACGTACTCAGAAATTAATATTACTCTGCTATTACTTCATTACGACCTTTATTTTCAATTCACATAACACTATTTTACAGGCAAAGCTCGTCTACTTTACTTAAGTAGAAAGATAAGGAGAAGATAAGACGAAGAAGTCAATGGCATAAACAACGCCTATTTAAAATGAAACATAAAACGAATTCGATTATATGCGTCGACTAACGATGAAATAAGAGAGAAAGATCCATCGATTCGGTTTGTCCCATCACACATGTTCCCGCCATTCCTCTGTATAACAGTGTACTGTCCGCCAGCTGCTCTGCTCTCTGGAGTGTGACATTTGCCACGTTCAGTGACGCCCTGAATGTTGCCCTCATGTTGAATGAGACGCTTGTAGTTGGCATTCAAGAGAGGAGGAGATCCTCTCTAGAACAGTGTAGCTTCATTAAAAAACTTGTGGTGCTAAAACTGTGCGTTACTTTCTCGTCGTTAGTAATGGTTATATTCTATTTTACAGCATCCAACTGCCTCAAAACACATCTAAAATTGCGATCAAGATGCGCAAAATTATCAGAGCGGGCGACTTGGACGCCCAATTACTCCAAAAATACTCATATTTTCGAAAAAGTCAACATGACCTTATTTAAAAATATGTTTTTGAAGTTTGTCATTAAGATCTTGATAATTGTTGCGGAAAAAAGCCGAAAAAAAAAATGAATTTTTTCTATCGTCGAAACATCAGGGTTTTCAACCAACACGATACCTGCACGATTTTCTTAAACGTCAGACTATCCACCAAAAAAAATATTCATAAAGAATGGAGCCGTTTTTGAAAAAAATTGTTGAAATAAAAATTAAAAACTTCCTAAATGTCACTAAAAATTAAGCAAAAAAAATTTCTAAAAGTTGTACATGACCTTATTTCAAAATCTATCTTTATGGAAAAGTCTCTATTAAAAGAAAAATATATATCTTCCATGTTTAGATGCCGAAAAAAAATTGAATTTTTTTAATGTTCGAAAATTTTGAGTTTTTAATCAATATGAGATCTGCACTATTCTCTTAAACGTCCTCCAGACATTCCATCAACAAAATTTAATCAAAATCGATGGCGCCATTTTAAAAATTTTGAAAATGTCCCGGGGGCTTCATGTAATGTACTTCCCAAAATTAAAATATCAACGGGCCGCGACATCAGCCAGATCGATTGGGAAATATCAATTATGGAGAAAATCGGCTAAAAAGTTTTGCCGCAAGCGTTGTTAACACACGGATAGACGTTTTGACATCAATCGACTTTTCGGTATCAAGGACCCGCAAATCATGCATTCTGGCTACATTACGTGTTACAGGATTTTTGGTTCTAAATTTAGCGATTTAATTTATCCACTTTTTCGTTACCGGAGTTTTTCAGTCAAAAATTCGCGCTTTTTCGCGCAGCATTACATAACTTTCTCTTCGTGAGAAATTGCTTCTTAAGCGCGAGATAGTAAATTCATTTTTGGCTGCAGAAACGCAATGAGATATGGAGACACGGCAGGTGACAGTTTCTCCTCATAGTGCTTTCGCTTCATTTCGCATTGCATGAAAACGCGGGTTGTTTAAAACCCATTCAAAGTATAAATTAACTCATTGCTTTAAACTAAAAATTGTAGTTCATTTCTACTCCAACAAGAAAACAAATATTATAGTCGGTAATACTATTCAAAAGAAGAAAAAGAGAGGAAGACATTTTTCCCCGAAAAACCACCACTGC